TCGAATCAGACAGGAAGTTAGAATGCAAATGATCTCATTGGTTTCTATTTATTTACATGTAATTAACAAGAAGTCGAGGGAGGACATCAGTAAGTAAGCCTTACCTTTTTAAAGAGATACTCTGTTACATTGTTACATTAGCAGAATAATGCAGAGCTGTTATGTCACATAGAGGTGAAAACAGTCACGAAGCAATATCCTATTTCCCATAGTGATGAGTTGAGACAGAGCTTCATTAACACTGGGTTTGGACATAAAGTCTGTGTATTGTAATAAGGTCTGTGCCAATGTCAAAATAGCAAATTGTAGTGAATTGAAAATGTAACTGGATAAATACAGTCCAAACCAGATGAATTGCTAAAATCCCCTGATGCAATCACAGCAGTTTAGTCATTACATTTCGATATTTATTGGGTAAACCCCATCAACACTGGATTAAGATTACATAGGACCCTAGGCAGCATTTCAGATTAGACCCACTGCTTAGAGCCCTATATTCTGTTCGATGTGTTGGGGAGGCTGGGTGTTTTATGTGTCTGTGTGATGGTTGAGTGTTTTGTGTATGGGGGTCAAGTATTGTGTGGTGGCTAAGTCTGTGTGTGCGTGATGGATGAGTGTATTTGGTGTTGTGTGGTAGCTTAGTGTTGTGTGTATTAGTTGAGTATGTGTATTGGGAGAGAGGATGTGGAGAAGGCTGAGTGTAGTGTGCAGTGTAGCCTATGATGTGTTGTGTTTGTGATGGCTGGCAGGGCCGGATTAAGAGCACAGTGGGCCTGGTGCTGACAATTATGATGGGCCTAATTATGGAATCTTATTGACCAAAAACACTAAAACAATCATACCTCCCAAGCGTCATGATGGAGATGGTGCTGGAGGGAAACTCATAGGATGCAGCTATAAGAAAACACATACCCTATGTTAATCTCACGCTTTCATCTTTCAAGTAAATCCATACCTCCTAACAGCAGTGTCCAGTGAAGCCAGAAGTCAATGGGCGGGGTAAAAGGGTGGGCCACTGGCGCGAATCACGTGACAAGACCTGCCAAAAGGGTTGAACATGCCCAAAAAGGGGGCATGTTTGTCCAAAGAATTGGAAGGTCAGCCTGGCATGAATGCATGTCAGGCTGCCTGCCAATCCTGCAGGCTGTCCAACTAAGGGCATACAATGCAGGCAGCACCTTGAGGTTGACATAAATGCGTCTAATGATGTGCTCACTCCATTCTTTCTAAGGACTGTCCCCTAGCACTCGCTGGTCCACTTGTCTCCTTACCTTCTTACTAGCAGGCAGAGGTTCCTGGTATATAGTCTGAGACAGAGAAAAGGTGTCTGTAGTGATTGTAGAAGAAAGGGGACATGCCACAGTGTTAGAGAGACCAACGTCTGCATTACCTAAACTAACTTTAATGTCAGCCAGTGCATACAAGTTTTGTTCCCATACATCCCTCTTAAGCTTCCAAACTTAAAGGGACACTATAGTCACCAGAACAACTACAGCTTATTGTATTTGTTCTGGTAAGTAGAATCATTCCATTCAGGCTTTTTGCAGTAAACACTGTCTTTTCAGAGAAAATAACTCCACTGGCCGCTCCTTAGATGGCTGCTAGAGGTGCTTCCTGGGGCAGTACTGCTATTCAGTGTCTCCACCCTCTGCATGCAGACACTAAACTTTCCTCATAGAGATGCATTGATTTAATTTATCTTTATGAGGAGATGCTGATTGGCCAGGGCTATGTTGGACTTGTGCTGGCTCTGTCCCTGATCTGCCTAGTTGACAGTCTCAGCCAATCCTATGGGGAAGTATTGTAATTTGCTCAGACCACCACTTCTGAGCCAGCAGCTGCAGAATTGAATACAAGTAATATTTTACTATATTTAGGGAGGCAACAAGGGGCCAGGGTGGTGGTTTTAACATAATAGGGTAAGAAATACATGATTGTGTTCCTGACACTATAGTGCTCCTTTAAGCAAGAGTATGTGAAGCGTAGTTAAGGTTACCACCTTTCTTGGAAAAAAAATACCAGCCTTAATCATTTGTATAACTAATTAGTTATGCGTGACATCACATGATGTAAATCACAAGGAGTAAATCACAGTTTGATTCTGCTGTATAGATGGATTGCTCTCAGTGTCTCCCTGTCTCCCAGTGTCTCAGTCTTGCAAGTCATACAGTGTCTCAGTGTCCCTATGTATCACAGTGTCAGTGTCCCCATGTCACCCAGTCCCCTAGTCTCCCAGTGTCTGTGTCCCCATTTCTCCCAGTGTCCCAATGTCTCAGTGTGTCCCCATGTCACTAGGATACTGGGAACACTGAGAGACATGGGGACACTGGGAGACATGGGGACACTGAGACATTTAGGGAAACTGGGAGAAATGGGGACACTGAGACACTAGGGACACAGACACTGGGAGACATGGGGACACTGAAACATTTCGGGACACTAAGGACACAGACATGAGAACACAGACACTGGGAGACTAGGGGACACTGGCTGGGAGACATACACTTGGGGACACTGGGAGACATGGGGACAGTTGTGGACATAGGCATGTGGACACAGGGACATATATGGACACTGGGAGACATGGGGACACCAGGCACACTGAGACACTAGGAACACAGACACTGGGAGACATGGAGACATTGAAACATTTGGGGACACTAAGACACTAGGGACACAGACACTGAGAGACTAGGGGACACTGGGAGACTAGGGTATACTGGGAGACTAGGGGACACTGGCTGGGAGACAGACACTTGGGGAGACATGGGCACAGTTGTGGACATAGACATGGGGACACTGGGACACATGGGGACACTAGGCACACTGAGAGACATGGGACACAGACACTGGGAGACTTGGGGACACTGAGACACTAGGGACACTGACTGGGGGACATAGTGTCTCCGTGTCCCAATGTCCCTATGTCTCACAGTGTACCCATGTGTCTCAGCATCCCCATGTGTCCCAGTGTCCCCTAGTGTCTCAGTGTCCAGTGTCCCCAGTGTCCCCAGGTCTCCCAGTGTCTGTGTCCCCATGTGTCCTAGTGTCTCAGTGTCCCTAGTGTCTGTGTCCCCATGTGTCCCCTAGTGTCTGTGTCCCCATGTGTCTCAGTGTCCCCATGTTTTCCAGTGTCCCCAAGTGTCTCAGTGTTCCCATGTCTCCCAGTGTCTGTGTCCTAGTGTCTCAGTGTCCCCTAGTGTATGTGTCATCATGTGTCCCCTAGTGTCTGTGTCCCCTAGTGTCTGTGTCCCCATGTGTCCCCTAGTGTCTGTGTCCCCTAGTGTCTCAGTGTCCCCATATGTCCCCTAGTGTCTCAGTGTCCCCATGTGTCCCCTAGTGTATCAGTGTCCCCATGTGTCCCCATGTGTCCCTGCTGCCTTCCCCCCTATCCCTCACTTACCTGAGCTGTAGAGCTGCTGTCTGGACTCTGTGCTGTGTTGCTGCTCCCCCACGGATCAGTGAGTAGTAGAAAGAGGCAGGGATATTCTGTAACTTCCTATCCCTGCCTCTCTCCACACACCGTGACCCCTACTGGGCGGTGCTGGTATTGCAGAGTAATTTCCATTTATTCTGAGAAAATTACCTGCATTTGTATTGCCAGTATTACTGCAATACCGGCATGGCCAGGCAGCCTCCTATACCGCCTGTGCCATTAAAATACCAGTCAGGTGGCAAACCTAAGAGTAGTGTGTTAAAAAAAAAAAAAAAAAAAATTTGTTTTTTAAATGGGCCTATTCCATGGGCCTGGGCCTGGAGTTGCAGCTCCATCAGCCCCTATGTTAATCCGGCCCTGATGGCTGGGTGATGTATGTTGTCAGGAGGAAGTGGATTGTGGAGGTCGTTAGCCTGCCCACACATCTCTTAAAATAATGCCTCCTTCCCTTATCTCTTGTCAGTATCCTTGCTGGTATATTGGAGGGACATTCTGGGCAGGTGATTCAGTGGTAGAGTGTGTGGTCTGCACCTCTTTTTGCTGCAGACCATTTTAATAAATCCCTTGTGGGCCTAGCGCTCAGCCAATTACTTTGAGGTCATGCTTCTGTGCTCTTAATCATTGAGAAATCCCAAGATTACAAGGAAGCTCATAGAATGCCCTGTATCCTGAAGAGAGGCACACACAAACTGACCTGTCTATTAGTAAACCACATAAAAGTAGCACAGTTTCCTACAGTACTTAATGTCATCTCATAACCTCCTACAAGACAGTGCATGCGGTGGCTATTTGCATGTGAAGTTCTGACTAGGTTCATTATTATAAAAATAAGAATCAAGCAAGTTGACAAACGAATACAAACAGTGCAGAGTTAAAAGCTTACTCAAAGCACCATGACCACGTCACTGATTTTAAGTGACCATTTTGCTTGGACTCTGTATTACAGCATTTCGGTTTGAAACACAGCACACAAGATATAGCCCAGTGCTGTCAGAAGTGTAACTCAACATCCGGAAGCATCTTTATCCAGATGTGAATGAGAACGCAAGTGTGACACTTGCTTGGAGTGAATAAGCTTCTAAATTATTCTTATTTGGGTTGTATTGAGGTATGAGCACCAATCCTAATTTGATAGCTGACCTGACTGGCAGGTCAGCCTGGTGTGAATGCATGCTAGGTAGTGATGTCCCGAACGGTACGCTGAACGGTTCGCCACGGATGGCGAACATAAACATAAACTTTGACCCTGTACCTCACAGTCAGCAGACACATTCCAGCCAATCAGCAGCAGACCCTCCCTCCCAGACCCTCCCACCTTTATTACAAGAAAAGCTATGTATGAACGCTATGCCTTTCCTCTACAACCTAAATGCGAGAGCGTCCACTCATTTGCCACACCATTTGCCTTGTTTTCTCTTTGTGTTAACCTTATATGAATCTATTATTTGGGAACTGTTGCTATTTTACATTTTTGGTCCATTTTTTGATATTCACGTTTACACTATCTTGATTCCGTGATCAATTTCAGTAAGAGTGTTATGGGCAAATGCAAATATTACAAGTTTTAGAATGAAATGTTGTATTTCTTAAACTGTGTACTTTGTCTTTAAGAGATATTGCAAACTGACAAGGTGTTAGAAATGGAACATATTGTTTTTCATAACTGTTTCTTTAAGCAATAACCTCAGTGCATAATATGTTTGCTCCATTTTGTCCCAGACGAATTACAATAACAATAATGCATAAACAAGCTTCAAGGCTATGCTACGACTCTTGCAGTACACAATATACTGTGGTAACCCCAAGTTAATGGAACTTCCCCAAATCCGGGAATCTCCCACGACTGTACACTTACGACTTAGTATAAACAACAGATAACCTATTCAGACTTTAAGATGCCATCTTGAACTAAGTCAGGAAAATTTCCATGACGTATACACCCTTTAGTTATGGCCTTGTATGTTTGCCAAATTAAGGGAGGTCCTAAATTGAATAAAGTAAAAGAAGTGTTACTTTTTCATATTTGAACTACAGTAACCTAAAATGGAGACATCTGAGGTATAAATAGGTGTACTTTTAAATGTTAAGACACAGAGGAGAGACTTGGAGACAGACGCTGCTCCATCTTAAAATGACAGAGAGGCTGACATGATGACATGTTCAGAAGGGTATGTTAACCTATTAATGATATTTGCAAGCATGTAATTTAATCTTATAAACTCTGCTATAATGGATTTTATATTTTTATATAATAAATATCCAAAAGACAATCTTGCTTCCAAGACAATCCTTATTTTATATTGTATTCTCAATTATTTATATCTGTTAAATAGAGGATCTCTTACACTATATAAAATTATGGCTAAGATATCTGTATGGTTAGCCCTACTAAGTTCTATGCTTTAAGACATTATAGTGGTAAATAAGGGAACCACACACGGTTACAATTGGCGACCACGAAGGGACTTTGTACTTGGAAGCTTTAAATATAAAATAAATACCTAGGTAACCTCTTATACGTAAGAGAAGACACAACACTTTGTCATGGCACAAGTCTTGAAATATCAAGAATCTATTGAGCTACTTGTAGCCCAGACTCAGAGAGAGATCATTAGAGATGATTTTAATGTGAACAAGGCACTGTGAGTTTAGGTGCCAGGTACAACGTAATTAGCATACAATGCTGAAATTGTGGATCTTAACCAATATCATAATAGAACAAATGCCTAATACACCAGCATAGCATGGCCCGTTAGTTCCAGGACAGTGGATTGCAGACAGGGGGATATGTTCTCTTTGTAGCTGCTTAGTATGCATGCGCAGGAAAAAGATTAATGCAAAATGTTGTCAAAAGAAAAGTGATAAGACAGAGCGATGAAATTTGAAGTCTAATTCCAAGAATGCAAAGAAAAAATGCATTATGGCTTAATGAAAACATTCATGCAACAGACAGACAGGATTTTTAATTATTGCATTCTGGATTCTAATGTCCACTATATGTGAAAAGTTTTATAAAACAGTGATATTTTCCATATTGTCAGTTACGCTAGCTGTTGATTGAAAATCAGGAATTATAACAGCATAACTATTTTTGGAGTCTGGAATTTCCAGCCAAGGTTGCAGAGATACAGAGACATGTAAACATTCCAAGGAATTGAGAAGTCGTTGTTTTATATTCCAAATTATGAACAACATTATTACATACAGCCATAGAGAGAAAGACATGGCTATTAAATACATTGAGTGCAGTACAATGCAGTACACTGCAGCATATATATTATATAATATAAGATAACTAGCTTATATTTTTTCCTAAACAGAGTTGAAATTATACTACCCTCCTAGAAAAAAGGGCAACAGGTGGTTATACATCCTTTGCTTCTCTAAATGCTATGCAAAAATAAATATTTATAAAATTATTAAAAATAATATATGTAAGAAATCAGGGCAAAATAAAATGGTAACTATACAGGATCTCTGATAACTTTTTTTAAACTGAAATTATTAAAGGCTTATTTAAATAAAATGTTAAATACATTTACAGCTTTAAATGTGACCAAAATATATTAAATGATGTGTTAAGCAGCCAGCCCAATTCACTAGAATAGCATAAGTATTCTACTATTTAAAGTGCACAATTCCTGCACATAATGACTTTGCTTACTCAGGTACAGTCTTTAGTCTATTGCAATGGCAGGATTAAAGTCCACCAATTTTAAAAGGGAAAGCTTACTTAAATCAGTGGTACTATCCCACCGTACTAGCAGTAAAGAAATTAGAACAATTATATTGTACTACTGACTGTAATCAGATCAGACACATGTAATCTCAGTGAATTTCATAAACTAGGTTTTTATAAAATACGATTAAATAAATAAATGTATAGAGACTAAGCATTAAGAGCATTTACATGCATTCAGCAGCCTGCTCTCTCAAAGCCAGAAACAGATTTATAAAAAATAAAAAGTAGGTTTTAAAAAGTCCGCAATCACCACACATGATGGGTGTAATAATTGCTTCTTTAAAAGCTATATGCTGCCGCAATTATGTATATAAATACAGATTAGGGCACAGAGTAGATATAAAAATACAGTTTCAAATCTCATATATGAGGATTCAGTTCCACCACATATTCTACAATTCTGAAAGAGGCTAATTTTAATATGTTGTAAAAGCACATATAATGCAAAATTAATTTGATATTGCAAGGCTGCAATATTCTAAACAGACATTAAAATTTAAGAAAAAAAGGAAAAGAATAATGCATAAAGAATAGTGTCAATTAAAATGATAATACTCTGATATATTAAATCACATTGCATATCACATATCTGCTATATGAAAAGTATAATTAAGGTGACTTTACTGCCCAATGCCCCCTCACATCTATTTTATAGAATCTATACTTTTCAGTGGTCACTTCTAAAGAAGCCACTGAAACTGGGGGGCTCAGAGGGGTGCTCATCCCAAAAGAAATCAGATTCCAGACTTAAAATAAATAAATGATAGAAAAGGAATCACAGACCAGAACATGCATTTTTGTATATAATCTTAATTTGCAGATATTTTATGCAGTAAAGACATATACAGGATAGTTAATTAAATATGCAGGTATCTTTAAAAATTAAGCAATGTTAAAAAAAATAAAAAATAAAATAAATAATAATAATAAAAAATATATTTTACACCACAATATAAACAGCTTTGTTAAACAGATTTAAGTACAAGTACTTATGTCAAGAAATATACAGAATACGTTTACAACAGGCAGGTTTAGCATAAATGCAAAGTTGTTGTTTTGGGGGATTTATTATTGCCCAAGAAATCTCTGAACACATTCAGAATTTTTGAGAGCAGCAAGTATAGACAGCAGATTGCAATGGACACCATTACAATATTGCTTTGCCGATTGAGGTCAGAGGTTTAAAGAATAAATAAATAAATGTTCTATAGCTCACTAGACCACTAGCTTTTAATGAATAGTTTGCACAACACTTATAAATAGTTTGTAATACTGCACATTATAGCTGTGACAACATAATACACAGGGTAGCAATGCTATGTCACTGTTTAATAGACTTACCCAGTATTTAAGGACGACATGTTTCTTGCAAAGTCATCGGGTCTTTGAGGGAGGTTCTAACTACATTTAATTAATTAACTTACTAAAGAAAAAAGAAAAAAAGAAGGTTTTGTTTTTCCCCTGCAAGTGAATTTTCGGCGCAAGGTCATTTTGTGTTCACAGACTATTCGGTTTTAAAAAGCTGTTCTTTATCTCCCATTATGAACGGCCTTGTAATTCCTATCCACACTAAAAGTTGGCTTTTAAATGTTATTGTTTTAACTTTAATATTTCATAGTTAATACAGAGGATAAAGTAATTTAAAGAAAGTATATTGAAACTATATTAATTGATAAGATTTAATTTATCTATTTTGGTCCACTGTTCACTGATCTCGAGTCTCAGTCTGGTGTTCAAACAGTTTTTCTTACGATACGTCGTGAGTTTATATCCACAACTGCGTTTTGCTTTGTGATAACAAATTGAAAGCCTGGCATTGTAATACGTGTATGGACATGCTTATAACAAAGCATGGTCCCTCTCCTCATGTCGTTAACAGGCACTTTGATGCAATGTGTCTACCAACGCTTTTCTGTGGTCACTGGATCACATCGCATACCCTATCTCTCAGTCATGATGCAGAGTTTATGCTTGCAAGGATATCCAGACCTTATCCACCTGGTATCCGCATAAATACTCCTATCGTTTAGAGGGGTTAATTACATAATAACCATTGAAGGTAATACGTTGGTTGTTCTTCCTATAGAGGAAAGATGGACTTGCCCTAAAAGCTTTTTCATGGCTAGGACAAGCTCTTATAGAGAGAGGTAATGTACTTCTGACTCCTGAAAAGGAATATTGTTGGTCACAATATGGGAAATACTGTAATTCATGTGTTTAGTAATCATAAGCATTTGCTTATTGCCACATTACTGATGTACTGTTTATTGAAATATTAATATCCAACATACTTTTGAATTACTATATATTGAAAGTTTGCCAACATCTCATGGTTATAAATATGTTTTTGTATGTGTTGATGCATGTACCATGTTTACTTGGATATATCCTGTGCGAAGTGCAACCTCTGATGCCATGTTTTCTAGTCTCACTTCCTTAGTATGCATTTGATAATCCCAGGACCATCCATTTGGATGGTGGTCCTGCAGTTACTGCAAAGGAAACCTAAAACTGGGCAACCACATTTGGGTTACTTTGGGATTTCAGTGCCCCAACCACCCCCAAAGAAGTGGGGTTGTGGTCTGGGAGAATGCTGAGGTTAAATGATTATTAACCAAGTTACTAGTTGCTTGCCCCACACAGTGGTATCTATTTATTCCTATGGTACAGATAAGCATTCACAACATACCTGATGATACAAATGGTGAGACACCATATGAAATGTTACATGTTTTTCACTGACAAATATATTTCTGCACCAGGGAGAGCTTAGAACCATTGGTTCTATTAGAGAAATTTAGGGAATTTTTTTTTTTCCAGTCCACTTCGCCTTGCACCACCACCTATTTCCTTCTGTTGGCCAGTTTGTCCTGGAGAGGGTGATACCAAGAACTTTTACTACAGAGAACAATCAGACCCAACAGAGAACAGTAAGTTTTGATATTTTACAACCTGCTAAATATTAACAGGACATTCACAGAACCACTGACTGACACAATGGATGCTGTTAAAGATGGCAAGATAAAACAAACAGAGGACGACAGAAAAGCCACCAGAATCATAGACAGACTGAATCATGATCTGACATCTGAACCTGCAAATGTGAAGGAGAAGGATGAACAGACAG